TTATTGCGGGGAAGTAAAACTTAACGAATTTTGGAATTAGCTACTTGGCAACCTGTCGTTTTGTCAAACGACAAACGACAAATTTTGAGATTATGGCACTGTCCTGTTGCGTGTTACGGGAATTATATAAAAATTTCCACTTCGCAGATGAATGTGCCTGATTGAAGAGAAGACGAGGATATCCTAATTCTGAAAATGTCTCAAAAATAACGTAAAACTCACGGTCGATGAATTCGGAATCGCAAACCCCATAAGCCCTCAGGAACACTGACGAGACAACCGATTTCTTAATAATATAAAGCAGGTGATTCTAGAAAAAATGAAGATAATTTTGTTTGGCTATTCGTCCGGCATACACTATTTGCGCGCAAACACACTCGCGCATTAGCCTTGCATGCAAACTTTGGCGCTGTTTTTGTGTGTTCATTGTTCATGACTAAGGGTCGATCATCGATATCGATTCCTTCAAAGATGGAACTGAATTTGCCAGTTTTGCTGATGTGAAGGACAGCTTGACCAAATTCCAAGAGAACACTTTCGCACAGTTTTATGTCAAAGATTCAAGGACTGTTGCTGCAGCTTTGAAGCGTACACCGGATAAGAAAGTGAAGCCAGAGTTGAAGTGCTCCTTAGTGAGGGGGTCAGGGGGAGAAGCCCCCGATAGGTAAATATGGCAATCGGGAGGGATTTTTGGTTCATAAGGCGAACCTACTGGCAGTTCGTGCGTTTAAGCTGCAGTCCACTCGCTCGCTCGTTCGTTCGCGCAACACCGTGTCGAATCATCCGCGGCTGAATCTTCTCTCGGGTTCCTACATTTTTCACTTTCTTTATCATCTGAAATGCTATCCTTGGCTCGGATTTTCAATTTCCCCCATTCCTTTGCTTTTTAAAATGCATGGTATGAACGAAATCACCCCCCCCCCAACACCCCATTCCCCACGGGATCCCCCAACATCGTTGGCGGGCGTCGGGGACTTCGTAAATCAGAATAGGGATGAAAATCATGGAAATGTCAAACTAGCAAACGTAGCATGTGTGTCCACTCGGTCCTAATAATAAACAAATTTGAGGATGTGCCCCCGCCGGAAAACAGCTCTTCAGTGCAGGCTTATGGAAAAAAAAAAAAAAAAAAAAAACGCCGGAAAAATATCCCAGCAGTCTCTCGATCCGGCTATGAATATTGCGTGAAATGACAAAGGCAGAATTACTGACTGCGCAAGCGGGAGTGTATGCCGGACGAATAGCCAAAATGTCATAAAATCCGGTGCCGGAACAATATCCACGGCGAATAAACAAGGAATCCTGCCTATGCGATATATCACTAAAAATGTAATATATCGCCCTAATCCTAATGAAAGTAAAGCACAAACCCAAAAACAAACCGGCCAAATAAAAAACAGCAACGGCAGAGAAGTCTCGCCCAGGCCTATGGCGGCGGAGGAGTGGCCGAGGCAGACCTCAAGGCGGTGGGGGGCGGTGGGGGGGGGACGAGTAAACAAACAGGGTTGTCAGCCAATTCTAAGGCATCTTAGCTCGTTCATTATATATATATTTTTAATAAATAAGGGTCAATATGCATAACAGGGTAGGGGCTTACTTTCGAACTAATTTTGATATTTATCTGCATGAAATCCACTGATTTCAACGATTCTTCATGTTGTTTCTTGTGCAAATGCTTCGTTGACGAGATCTGAGTACCACTTCCATCGACAATCTAAATTTGTTAGTCCCGTTAGCAGGGGAGGGCATGAAGTATATCAGGGAAATTATGGGGTAAAACAAGCTTAAATAAGAAGAATAACAATAAAAAATGCGTAAAACTAGCACAAGAAGCGCTTAAAATCGGCCAATGAAACTCTACGGATGTAACCGCCATCGATGAAAGTCTACGCACCGGCGCGCCAAAATTCGAAGAACTCTACGGGAATACAACGTATCTTTCGGTAAAATCAACGGGATTACACACCTTTCACGCATCAAAAAACGTCCTAACCCTTAACCCAACCTAACCTAGCAATTTACGGTGCCGTGACTAGGCGTGCCCCTCGGGCACTGCCCGAGGGGAGGGTTGATGGGGGGCAAGCCCCCCAACACCCCCCGGGACACGTTCTCTTCACCTCGGTATGTACGGCAAGATAAGAGCTGCATCCATGCTGTAAACAATAAACCAAATACCTTTATATATTGAAAGACGGAACTGTCAATTTTCCTTCGCTTCTTTCGGTCGGTCGTGGATCGTGGGTCGCTTCGTTTTTATCGCTTTTTTCGGGATTTGGGGAACTTGATGCCCTCAGAAATGGAACTGCGATAGTTATTGAGGTCTCTCTCTTCTTCGTTGCCACTGCATAGTCTTAGGAATAACCTAGAATCGACGCAACACCGAAAACAAAACACTTCTTACCGGCTCTCTGTCACCGACTACCCGCGAATCCACCTGTCAAAACTGGCGGCGAGAAACGCGAAAATACGCATGCGCAGAAGGTCCTTCAGACCGATTCCC